ACTATGAAGGAAACATCTTATGGTTTTATACTTGTACTAAAAAAGTATCACCACTATACGTTTTTGAAGATAAACGATGTTATAAAAGAATCCCTATCTTTTATAAGAATAAGGTACATTTCGTGGATACACTTTCACGAAGAACCTATTTCTGGGATACCGCAGTCCCATGTGGATCAGAAAATAGCCACAATGTAGTACAACTAAACCCTGATGAAAACAAATATTATCTTCTCACTCCATATCCCACATTAATGCAATCACTCAAAAAATTTTCACCAGAAAGCATTCGCGCTATTGCTCGAAACCCAAATATAGACTTACAATCAATAGGAATCTATTCAAAATCAGATATTCAACATCACATTAGAACACAACAATTCCAAGAATTATTAACACAAATGGACACTATACAAAGACAATCAATAGACCAAAATTTACGCAAACTTGCAGAAACCGCAGGATTTGCCGATATCTACACGCAAGACTATAGCGGATATTTTAAAGACATTAAAGATTATATATATCTAAACGGTGAAAAATACCGTCCCCAAGATATATCACCGATTAACATTTTTAGCTTTGTTACACTCAAAAATGAGATCCTCGATTTTCTAGGATGGCCCTACTACATCTTAGAAAAATTGACTATTTTATACGCAATGTTTAACTTTATTGGATTTCTTTTCTCACTTTTAAAAGGAATCTACAACACATGTGCTATACACACACAAGTAAACAGACAAGCAAGCGTAGCACGCATACTCTTTGCAGGATTTTTTGGAATCTTTTCTACATCCATAAACAAAATTCTTTTAGACGCACAAATAAAAGAATATAACACAAAAATAGCAACACGACAAAATACATACGACGAAGAACATAACAATGTAGACATAACGCCAACGGCACCACAATTACCACCCCTACCAAATAACCATCCACTATCCCTAGTCCCACGAAATTTTCGAAATTTAGCCATCACACATAATCCAAATTTTCGACTCACCACATCACAAAGTCCCATTCAACATATAATGACACACCAGTCACAAGATGATAATACTTATGAACAAATTATTGAACAACCCCATACCACCGCTTTTCAGTCTCAAAATAATCATTTTTTTAGCCCACGATGAGCCGCCAACTTGGATCACTACACCGATCAAATTCCCACCCAACCAATCTTACCTCTCCAATCCCAATAATACCACTTTTTGCTTTTCCGCCACCCAATTTTCCATCTAGTAATGTAACATCAGGCATGAATTCCGACACTAATTCACACATCTCAGTTTTATATTCCATCTCACAACTCAATAACCCGAATATTGAAACCCCCGATGAATTTGCCGACTCAGAACCATCCCCATCCAATAATTTTCATAACTCTTCTAATTTTTCTCAACCCCCTTTTCAACCCATATTATCCAATAACCCTGACCCCATCACTCCCACACCCTCTTATGCTTCCCAAGTTACCCCAACCTACTCCTCATACCATTCTGACCAATCATCTCAATCACCAGACACCCCCCGAATCTCCCCAGAGCTAGATAATTTTATTACCCTTCAACAACAACCCTACCACCTTAATACCCCAACCATAAACCAAATCTCCTCCACAATAAATTCATCCAACCCCCCTACCCCTACACCCTCTTCAAATTATACTGAATCATTAGCACCATCATCCACATCAACTGAATCTTCACTCAACACTAATAGAGCTTACCGCACTTTTAAAAGAAAGTTCCCCAACCATCCTTTCCCAACAAAACCAGGAACAGCCCGTGAATACATCAACCACCCCAAGCATACTAACACAAAAGAATTTTTAGCCATCACCTTACCCTCATTCCCACAATACACCTTAAACACCCCCCACGACACTAACGAAACACGCAACTTTGTAGATGAATACGTTTTAATGCCCACTCTCTCTTGGACCTCATATTATCATTTTACTAACCCTCTTTGCTTACCTTTATCTAACACTCACATCGATATAGAGCGAAATACGGACATGCTATATCGACTCACTACACCACTAACCGCTAGACAATTTACTTACGTTGGATATAAAAAATCACTAAAAAAACACACACTGCACCTAGAGCTAACGAATATACACTCGAATACTATGATCACAACATCATCAGAGCTAACCAAGATCAATTCTTAGACGACGATCGCTTCGCTAATCCACAAATTACTGAGAAATTTTTCATCAAAACACCATATATATTTACACTAAACATCTTCGACCGAAAGTTTGATCACATTATTTCAGAAGCACTAACAGACACACAAGCATACGAAAGTTTTAAAGAACGCTTCCAAATATTTTCACTAACCTTTCATTTCCTTGCACCACACGAAAGAGATTTACACTGCTCACACGATATTATGTTGCGCACTAAACAAACCCACACATATAGTTATTATCGCTTCATCCAAAATCACTTTGACCTACACACACCCTCTAGACAACCACACCATCGTTTTCAATTCATTAATTCCAAATACACTTCACCATTTTTCCTAAATTTCACATATTGCATTAAAGATACTAACCTTCATGGTATTCTTCGTAATTATGACCCCATAACCCAAATGTACATCTTCTGTCCCATCACCAAGACCTTCAACGCCGAAGAATCCCGACCCTTCCTTATCCCGCACGAGTTTGTACAACCTATAGAAATCCCAATTTTAGAATTCATCCACAACACTAAATTCAATCACAAATTATATAATCTAATCCAAAACACACCTTATGAGTTTGCAGTTGGCACTGAAGAACTAACCACTATTAAGGCACTTCAATTGCTTTGGCCACTGCTTCAAACTAAAAATATCATCCGCATCTTAGCTAAACTACTAACAACTTCAGAACTAATTCACGATATCTTCCCCCACGGTTTTTTCCCCGACGACTAACAGGTAAGTATGAATTAAATGAATATTACTAACTAATTAAAATATTAAAAAACTCACCATACTTTATCCATGTTTTCTTTAGATTTTTAGCCTTCATCCGACGATCACCTACAAAAACCACAAAAAACAAATAAAGATCGCAAATTTCATCAAACAGACTTCAAAAATTCTATTAATCTCTTACACTTATAAATTTATAAATTTAATACCAATGCAGTAAATTCATTTCTAAAATTTTCCCCACAAGCAGTAAATATAATTATAATGAAAATTTGTAACTTAAAATTCCCCCATAACTAGCAGTAAATTTCCAAATTCTATGCAGTAAATTAATAAAATGCAATTGCAGTACTAACCTTTTGATATTTTCATTCATTCGCACAGAAATTCTATCCACACTCGCACAGCTCGCCCACGAAGAATTGTTTAAAATAATGAATTTCAGTTTCAAGTTTTCACACTCAACAACTCTAACATATAATAACATGTTTCAAACCTTCCTTTAACCCGGTTGGAAAGGAATCATATACTAAACAAAACTAACCAACGCAGCTTACTAAATACCACAAATCATAGAATAACAGCATGACTAAGAAAAGGAAACCAACGGTACCCAAACCGGATTAACCCAGTTTAAAACTGGATAATTTATTCTTTTGAAGACTATTATAAAGTCTAAAAAAGAAATAATAAAACACAAAAAAGTCGAAAGACAAACCCATACCACGAACAATTTGCTTTTTGGAAAAAGGACATAACCAACAAGACATAAGAAAAACCACAACAAACCCAACATAAAACGTTGTCACATAACAGGACCCCTCACAAAAACCGCATGAAATCATACTCCCACTCCTGGCCTAACCCACCAGGAAGGACGTCCTGAGCATGCTCTATAGCCGGCCTAACCCACCGCGCTACATCCACGCTTTGTGACCACACCTCTATTTTTAATAAGAGCTACTCAAGTGTGAGTAACTCTTCAAAATAACCGAACTAAAACAAAAAGCTTTTGTGAAAACAACTAACTAAAATCATAATTAAAAAATATTAAACTAATAAATGTTTTATAAAATGTAAATTACATTATGCAATACATAGATCAGAATACAACACCAAGGACGAACATCTAAAGACAAAACGACCCCACTACACTCGAGAGAGAATGACCAACCACAATCGATATGCCACTCACAATCACAACTCAAAGGATTTAGAGTACGACTTGACTTCGCAGAAAAGGACTTCATTGAACTAGACCAATGACCACCTCGATGTTCAAGTATACGTACAGATCCGAGTAACCAGGCATCCCCTCCACGCACAATCTCCACGCAGAACAGAAAAACCTGACATAGCAAACCATTCTGAAATCAGATTTGAGTTTGTTGCGAAGACTTAGTCGTTGTCACTAGAAGACACAACGTCTTATGTCTCTAACTCCAGCTTCCTGGAACTTCTCTAACAAAAAGGAAACAGAAGAAATAAGATGTTCGCCAAACACCAACGTCCATCATCCATCCTTCGAATTGCAGAAGAACTATTCTAAAAAATTCTGTAAAACCCGGATGGGTGGAACCTGATCTAAACTACATTTTATGATTGGATAATTTAGATATTTTACCAATGTAAAGTATTTAATATTAACCAATCATGATCCATCTAACTAACAACCCACTTATTTGTAAGTGCTGAAGTTACTTGTAATTTCAGCACCAGAGAGATTTGAATTTAACTTAGAAATTAGTTGGACTCTCCCGAGCACTTCAGCAGCCGCAATAAACCAGTATACCCTAGATCTATTGAGCCTAGCAGAGACTAGTTAAACAACCTGAGACTAGATAGTATAAGAGTAAGATTAGGATCGGTATTAGACTAAGAAGTTGCACGAATCTATCCGGCCGAAAATAAGATAGCGTGACGAGCAGACGGTGTACCCTATCCGAAATTACTCTATGAGTTAACCAACTCGGTCCTAACTCACATAGAAATCGATCGATATAAGCTCGATCGATTTCTATGCTATTTGTAGTTTCGGTCGCTATTCGTTTCAGGCGTCTGCTTTGAACAATCTGGAGTATGCACTGGACGTGATACACCCGGAAGCACCACTGGCTGTACAGAAATACGCTCAGTGAGTCCATTTTGGAAGACCTGAATTTTTAAAATAAGGGTGCAGTTATTTTTTAGAGTTTTTATTTAATTTTAATGTTTTAGGCCAAGTGCAAGAATGGCTGGCATCATCCGAATTGAGGCATCACGGATGAACACATTACTTTTCACACTTATACTTATTGCAACACTTGAAGCAGTGCATGCTCTAGGATAGACGAACAGAGAAAAAGTATATTTAAGAAGTAAAAAATATTTGAAAAAATAAATAAAAAGAAAGAAAAATGGAATAAAATGGGCGAGGACTAATAAGGATTATAGATCAGACAAAATTGGACAATGTTATTTACTTAAATCATATATTTATTTACAGATAAGTTAATAATTATAAAACTGTAAACATGCTGTAAATATGTAAAGTTAAGAAGTAAATTTTATTAATAGGATATCAGTCGAACTTGTAAATGGTGCTTGTGAGAATCTTTAATTTCAAGTTAAAAAATTAGAGCAACCGAAACCCTGAAATAAAAGTTTTCTCGAGTTGTTTTTCAATGAATAGTGTTGCTTGAGGCTCAGAGTAAAAAAAAAGAAACTACAGTTTTTTTTATCATCCATATCGTCCCCCCCCCCTCCCCGGCCAGATATAAGCAATAGTTTTACAGCGTAAATTTTGATTTTAGGAAGTTGTATATCAGAAAAATTGAGCTTGTAACTATTTAATTAGCTCAAATAATTACACTTGCGATCAACTTAGTGTAATATTAAGAACCTTTTTTTTTCAAATCTAACTCGCAAATCAAAGTGTTTATTAAAAGTGTTCACTTATTTGGAAATTTCACTGTAGAGTTGGAAATTGCATAGCATCTGTTCTCTGCGTTATTTTTGGCTAGTGTTTGCTGGTGTTATTCAGCGTCTGAGGCTGAGTGGTTAGCGTGTCAGACTATCTTGTAGGTTGCATGTTCGAATTTCAGAAATAGCTGATTTTTTACTAATTCGAGGCTTATTTCTAATTTTTCTTAGTGCACATTATATAGCTGCTTTTTGTCGTGTTCTCGCAAATGTTTGCGAAACAAAGCTTCAATTCTGTGTTAAACTCATGACAATTGGATCATATGAATAAAGCTAATATGGGAAACGGCGGAAAAGGTAGAAGAGCCGAAATTTCTTCACTAATTACGGAACCCCTTTCACACATTTTGATGCCTTGACGAATGCCTTTATTAAGATCTAATTGGGTTTGTTGAGATCAATTCAGGTTCATTTGCTAAAAAGTAGAGAAAATTGGCCAATCAGAAGTTGCTCTTGAAATTCAAAGAGCTTTAAGGTCATACATTTTTCTTCGAAATTCGAAAATTGAACATTCTTCAAAAAACAAGTAACTTTTTCCCTTTTCTCCTCATTCTTTGAACTGCTTGCTGTTGGCTGTTTTAGTCGTCCCATGCAATGGATGCCCTGCAATATCAAACAATCACTGTTTTTTGACAATGTCCAATTTAATAAGGTTTTTAGTTTATGAGTTTATGACACTCATTTTTTTTGACTAATCATCAAGTGATCTCAACTGACGCTCATGGAATAAGAGTAAAAAATTCTTTCTTTCTCTAACACAGAAAAAATGGATCAACTGATTTTTTCCAATTGGGTTTGATTTGAAAACGTTTTCACTTTCAGTTTCGAAAAAGTTTCATTATGATATTAAAATTTTGGGCATAGTTTTTCATAATACTTCTATCTGTTGGCTAGTTTTGAGATTCTGAAGGAAAAGCATGCTCTAATTAGGTCTGGTTTTTCTCAAAAAAAATGATTTTTGAGAATTTATTTTCAATTCAAAATCTTTGGGCCAGGCTAGTTCCGTTAAAAAAACGTAAAATGTTGTCACATACTTACTTCTACAAGTATTTTTTTTGAAAAAAAAATTAATCATCTTTTATATGCGGTTATTTTGCACAAAAATTTATATAGGCTCCGAGTTTGTTCTGAGACTTGCCTCTCTCTACTGAATACCTAATGTTCGCAATCTTGCCTTCTTTAGCGAGGGCCGTAATAAAGTTTTGCGGGAGAGTTTTTTCTAGAATGCAGGGGAATCTGGCATATTGAGACTCGCTTCCTAATTTTCATAAATTTCCTTAATGTCTGTTGTACTTATATCCTTATTGTCTGTTGTAATAAAAGGAACTTTATTTTAGTATGTTCATCCTGGTTATTTACCAAAATGCCTGAGTTCGAATCAGGCAGGGATCTAGCATTTTCTCGAGGAGTGGGGGCGAATTTTCAACAAAAAAGAATAGCAAATTTCGTCGAACTTTTTTTGGTCGACCAAATTGATTTTCTAAGATCTCCCAAATCATTATAAAGACCCCATTTCGACCAAATTTTCTGCACCGCAGGCAAATTTTTCAAAAAACAGGCCAAGAAAGGTTTTTTAGACAGTTTTTGGAAAATATTGTCAAAAAATCGCGTTTTTTTGGCGCGCGCTCCCCCTCAAAATTAGTATTTATTGGCGCCCAAGGCGCCTTTTGAAATCTTTTAGGGTCAGTCAGCCAAAAATGGATATCTCAAAATAGTACAAAGGGGGACCCTTTGGGTCGGCAGGGGGTCGAATCCCTGAAGGGAATGTCCGCTCCCCCCCTAAATCCGCCACTGGTTCGTATAGAGCTATTTATACTGGATGAAATCCACTGGAGTCATTATAGAATTCTTTCTCAAAATGGTCAACTTTTAACAAAAACAAGAAAATTTTATTTTGAAAAAAGATCTATATGAAACCGATTATTCAGTTGCCAATAAGAAGCGCATTGTTTGAAACTAATTCCTAATTTGTATGAAATTTATATACTTTCTTATTTATTATTTTTGTTAACATCCAGTCTACTCAAATTACTGAATCTCTAAAACCTTTTGTACTGAAGTTTTCATGTGGATTTTATAAGACATCATCGGTTCTGAATTTCTGACTTTCCGTTCTTTCTTAAAAGTGCAGAATCTTCTCTCGGCGGTAGCTCAAAAGTCGGCATTGAAGTCTACAGGAGCAATGTTTTGCTAGATAATTCAAAATGCAGGTTCTTGTTTACAATAACTGCCCAACGAAACTTCACTCTAATGGGTTCAGCCATGGTAGGCTTTAATGATTGCTTAGGCCAGAAAGACGGATTATCCTGCGGGTTTTCATCGTTGTGTGACTGCGTCATAAAACAATTGAGTATAACAACAGGTATAACTGTTTTTTTTTGCGATGAAAAATGGAACGCACACTTTTTTTCACTCAAATTGACTGCTATAAAATCATTCCAGTATCAAAACCAAGAAATTTTCTCAAGTTAAGTTCAAGTGAAGTTTATATCTTTGAAGGAAGACAAAACACGCTTACTTGGTACGAATTCAAATTGACGCGAAAAAACTGTTTGTTTTTGAATTTCGAGATAGAATTTTCAAATTTAGATTACCATTGAAATAAAAATTTGTCTCCTTTCCATTTTCTCCCCATTCTTCAAAGTTTCTACTTGAATGATTGATTTACGTGCTATTTTGGCGAATTTTTACGATGTTAAAGATGAAAACAAATCTGTTCACATTTGTTAATTTGTTCACCATGCCAAGTTTCATTGCATTATGACAAGGCTAAAGTAATTTTTGAAAATTGAAATTGAAAAGTGGGGAGAGAGAAGGAGAGAAACGCATCAAAAATTTCTGGTCCCAGTTTTGTATGTATAAATTATATGTCAAAAATCTTTTTAGTTTCAATTTGCGTTTACATGAGATGCTTTGCTTTATATACACTGAAAACTTAAAAAATGATTTTCAAAAGGTCAGTTTGCTTATCGTTTATCTAATAATACCATTAAACTTTAATACAGTGTAATTTTTGAGTTCACTAGGCTCTATCTGAAGACTAAATGTGTTGTGATTGCGCAATGAACTAACATGCCAGTTTTCGTGAAAATTTAAGCTGGCGAAAAAAAAATTAAATTGATATTCAAAGTGGTCAACTTTTATAAGTATTACAAAACATTGTCTGGAAGATAGTTTTTTAAATTCGAAATTCTAGTTAATTTGTCTGAAATGCATGCCTCTTTTAATTTTTTTTCATTTTTTCATTTTTAACGGAATGCGTTGCTCGGAATGCCTACTTGATTAGAATTTTTTTTCTTAGTTTGTCTCTATATTAAGTCTAGTCTAGTCTACTCGAGAATTGGCGTAGGATTCTTCGGAATTATTGTTTTGCCAGAGTTTTTTCTGCTTTTTTTCTTGCAGTTGTTGACAATTAAAAAATTTGCCTAAATGGGTTCAAGACATGGCGGACTCTTTTGAATGATTAGATCACGTAGATGGAATACCCCACGGGCTCAATCAGTTTTTTTACTGCACCATAACATTTTTCGTTGTAAATTTCTGATTGTCTCAATATGTCCACTTGAAATTTAAACATAGAATCTAAAAAATGAAAATTTCTCCTTGCAATTTCAAATAGAGTGAACATTTCTGTTCGCATTAACTAGCTTATTGACCAAACCAAATTTTATTCCATTATTAAAAACATATTTTTTAAAATTTCCTTTTGAAATGTGAGCGAAAATGGAAATTAGTCGGCATTATAACACTTAAAATAACTATAAAAAAAGAAAATTTGTAATGCGTTTGATAGGGGGGGGGGGGGGGGGTTAAAACATAGCAAATTTTTTTGAAACAATAAATTTTTAATTGTCTCAAATTGCCCCATGTTTATGCTTACGAACTAATCAGGCCATGCATGGCACAAGTTCGTTAATTTGTTTTCCAACAAAGCTCTAATATAGCCGAGTTAATTTCTGTTCGAGGTTTGCATCGTCATTGAGATAAATTTTACGAGAGAGAATACTGTACAGCAGAGCTGATCGCTTACAAAAGTTTTTGTCATTTTTGCTCAGCCTGTACGTTGGTACCTTACACTGAGTTTTACCTTTTCTGGTCATTTCAGTTTCATTTCACGTCACGTTATGATTAGGTTCAATGTCGCATTTTCCACAGATAATCTTCCAGAAGAGTAAAATGTCGTGAAGTTCCATATAAATTTAGATAGAGGTAATAATCTTGATTTTTTCAATTTTGAAACATACGTTCTTTGATAACCGTAGATCCAAAACATAGCCCTCGATTGATTTTTTTCGATTATTCTTATTGGTGACTTGTTGTAATACACGGCCTGAGAGCAGTTTGTAGTAATAGGCAGCATATACCCAGTAAATCAATTTATTTTCGCT